CCAGCGCTATCTAGTCGAGCAGCTTTTGAACCACCGCGACGTGAACGGACGCCGGACGAGTTATCTCGTCCGGTGGCGCGGCTACACCCCGTCCTGGGATTCTTGGGAGCCCCGCTCCCAACTGATGATCGACGTACTGGGTCTGGTTGAGCAGTACGACGCGGCACATCCTGTGCCGCAGAAGGACCGCCGGAGAAAGTCTTCCCGGCACGGTCGTAAAGGGATTTCAGGTTGTCAATCCCTTCGTACATCTCAGTAGAGATACGTACGCGCCACCACGGGCTAGTAAGGAGGTAAGCCTCCTTAGGTGCTCGTGCAGAGTTGTTCACACAACACGGGCACGAGTCTCCCGAAGAAAGGCAGGGTAATCCTTTATCCCTTGACAGACGATGCAGCTTGTAGCGTGCACCTGTCGGGGTTCGCTTTTCAAACTTATCACGAGCTTTGATAAGTTTGTCGTTCCAAGCATCACGACCTACATCCTCGAGGTTATGGATGTAGGCGTTCCACGCCTGAAGTAGTGAGGGACCATCACGTTTGTGATTCCCACTGTACCATCGATGTTTGAAGAAAGCATCGATGAAGAATTCATGTTCAGCGCGATAGTTTTTCGTGCTGAGGTCAAGGTGATGGATCCTTGACGAATCGAACAACCGTGTTCGATAACGCTCACTCGTCGTCGCCGACAAGTAATCCATGACAGATTTGGGAGGCATCCATGCCTTCTTCTCAGGAGCGAGACGCAAGGCATTGCGATCCCTCTCTTCCTGCGATGTGCCGACAGAAGGACTGACACCTCGCTGCGAAGTGGTGTCCATAGGAGAACCGAAACCACTATTAGCGCCCGAGTCTCGCGACCTCGAGCGCCTTCGCTTCGGCGATGGTTCATCTGATTCATCAGATGAACCGAAGATGCTACGACGCATAGCATCGTCCATGCCACGCTTGGCAGGCGGCTTGGATTCGATCGCCGTCGATACGGATCCGTCTTCCGTATCAGGAGAGTACGAGACACCGAGCTCGTACTCTGTGAAGACACGAGTGTCTTCATGACCAGCGCCTGCATCACCAGGTGATACAGGCTGAGTCGCTTCAGCAACCGATGGGACATCAGTTGCTGTAGTTTCTGCTTCGGCGTCCGCACAGAGACGTGCAGACGCGCTCTCGGCGGCCTTGCTCGCGCATCGCATGGGCTTGTTAACCATGCGATGAGATGTTGGAAAGTGGACTCGGACCAACAAGTGCAAACCCTGTCCCAAATGATTTGGGACGAGTATCCATTTAGTCAATCAGTCACTAAAGTGACTGATGGTTAGGGGGGGTGATGTAACGGGGTGAATCGTTACATAACAATTTATAAATCATTGTTGATAGAATATAACTATAAGAGTTACATTCTCAGAATATTGTCATAAGGACAAAAATTCTGTTGCACTTACAAGTAGTTCCTAATTGGTTGATATAGGCCATTATATCAACCAACGAAGACGCGCCACGACAGGCGCACGCAATGAGTGGTGAGCAGATAACTGATTTACACATTTGTATTTAGACATAGTTAGATGAAGATAAATAGTGATTTATTGCAGACATTAACTATTATAAATACAGTTCTACTTTTTACTTTAACCAAGTACTCGCTTCTTCTTACCGTCTTCCTCTGCACGTACGAGTGTACGTGAAGTTACGAGGCACCGCCTTATTCTGTCATCAGTATAAGTAGCTTGTACTGTAACCAGTACAAGCTTCAGGGTGCCCCGTTACAGTATGATTGTCTGTTCGTACTTGAAGGGGTGTCTTGGGATTAATGACAAGTCTTTATCGAGTTCATCGCCCTGCAGTTTACTGATCAATTATACGCAAAATATAAATGGTTCTATCGGTATGTACAGAAGCGTATGATACTACAATATATGCTCGCATACCATAAGTATTGATTCATGCCTTACCCACAACTGCTAGACTCCCTGTGATGTCCGTTGGTCTTCCTCCGCGCCTCTTACTGGCAATCCGAACTAAATTAAATACGAAACGAAACTGTGTTTTACATTTACGATACATAAAATAGCTGCAAAGTCATTGCTGCACTCAGCCTAAATTACGTCATTATGCTCCGCTTGGGCAACTATCGCAGCGGTATCGCGCGGATCAAACGCACGATCAGGACATAATAATCAAAAGATGTAAGAAAGGTCCAGGTGTGTATACATGTCCACACACAATCATTGCGTTTTAGTTGATGTTTGTGTGGGCGAAAGTGTGCCCTATCAAAATGCAGGCGGCTTGTAAGATGCGACGAAGTGGTAGTATGCTGTCAGTATCTCATCTGTAGTATGTTATCCTTAAATCCAGGAACGGCCTGCCAACTTCGTATGAGTATGCAGCTGCTAAAACGGGACCAGTAAAAAAGCTCATTTTTTGGGCTTCCGAACCTGTATGCGGATAGATGTTGAAGTTCCATAAGTATTCAATGTCTGTAATTTGCGTAATGAGTGATCAGTCGAGAAAACTAAATATGAATGTGAAGTAAAGCAATGTTATTGCGAGCCCGAAAGGTGAAATTATTAGTGAGTTTGCGTAAGGTTGAATGCTGTGTGTGAATGTGTGTGTCCGTCCCAGTCTGTATGTCTGTAAATAACGCGGTTAGGTGTACCTGACCCATATAAAGAGCGATCTAGCCCGTCCCCTCATAAAGGTCGATTCGCATGATAGGTGTCACTCTATTCCCAGGTCAATATTGTGATGCGCACACCTGATTGGCTTAAAAATGATCAAAGGTGAAATGATCACGTAAGCAAATGCAGGATGCGAATAAGCAAAGGTCGATCAAATTGCCTAAGCTTACTGTACTTGGTTAATACGGACAGTAAACAGCATCATACTTATTCTTCAGTGACTGCTATTGTAACGGGGTGAATCGGTACATAACAATTTATAAGAAATTGCTAATAGAATATAACTATAAGAGTTACATTCTCAGAATATTGTCATAAGGACAAAAATTCTGTTGCACTTACGAGTAGTTCCTAATTGGTTGATGTAGGCCATTATATCAACCAACGAAGACGCGCCACGACGAACGCACGCAATGAGTGGTGAGCAGATATTTCATTTATACATTTGTATTTAGACATAGTTAGATGAAGATAAATAGTGATTTATTGCAGACATTAACTATTATAAATACAGTTCTACTTTTACTTTAACCAAGTACTCGCTTCTTCTTACCGTCTTCCTCTGCACGTACGAGTGTACGTGAAGTTACGAGGCACCGCCTTATTCTGTCATCAGAACAAGTAGCTTGTACTGTCACCAAAACAAGCTTCAGGGTGTCCCGTTACACCTGGTAGCACTTTGTAGTCCGTCCAAGGACCACGTTCACATCTAACATGAACATGTCGGATGATGAAGATGACCAAAGCTTTCACGCTACGCGTGACGGCTACTCCCATTTGAGCGATGTCGAATGGGATGCGGTTGAACGAATGGGTTCAACCATGGGCATCCATGCTGTTAGCGTCATGCTAGAGGCTCTCAATAGAGATGCCCAACATGCTACTATCGCCAAGTTCGTTCAAAATGAACTTGACGCAGAACGCGAGAAAGTAGCCTTGCTTCACCAACAAGGTTCCCAACAAGCAGAGTTTTCAAGAGAACAGGGTGCTCAACAGTTTGAACTGTTGAGCCAGCAGCAGGCTGCTGCTGGCGGGTCGATGCACTCGCGTCGACCCGAGACTTTGAAGATTGACATCTCAAAGTATAAGGGAAGTCGAAGAGGACTCCCTCTTGAGATGGTTCGTTGAATTGGATGACGCCATAAGGGCGCGTCGCATCGACGACGGGGATATGCAAGTTGTATTTGCCCAGTCAAATCTGGCAGGACGTGCCAAGACTTGGGCACTGGGGCTCAAGTTGCACGACCCAAATGCGTTTGGGTCGTTGGAAGTCTTCAAGTCGCGGCTCAGACAAACGTTTGAACCGCGTAGGGCTGAGTTCAGGGCTCGAACCGAACTCTTGAAGCTCAAGCAGGGTAAGCGTGATGTGCACGCTTATGCTCAACATACACGACATCTCACGAGTTGTATAAGTTCCAATCCGGTGGATGAACACACGTTGGTTTCGGTGTTCATGCAGGGTCTTGCGGATGGTCCCGTCAAGACTCACCTGTTCCGGCTTGAACTAGATTCACTAGAACAAGCCATATCCATTGCGGAGCAGGAAGACTTCAGTCTGAGACAGGCTCGCGCCAGCTCGACATCATATCGTCAACCGAGACGATATGACAGTGGAGGTCCAGAGCCGATGGAACCATGTTATGTAGAGAGCGAGAAGGCTCGCTCTACAGACTACAAGAAGTTGCAGTGATGCAACAGATGTCAAAAGACAGGACACTACGCTTACGAGTGTAGTGCCCCTCGTCCAGTGTCTCGCAACACTGGGCGTAGTGACCGTCCACCCATGAGAAAGAAGCAGGGACGAGGGTCCGCTGTTGGTGCAAAGACGCAACAACGGGATGGGCCGTCAAAAAACGGACAGGATCAGTAGGTGCGGAGCACCCTACTGGTCCAGCAACGTCAAGAGAATTTGTAGGCCTCTTGATGAAGGTTGCTCCCAACACACAAACGTTGTGCGTTGCTGCTCTAGGTAATGAGGTCTCACTCATTACCTTGAAACTCGAAGTGACGAATAAGTTGTCCCTTCGAGCTCTAGTCGATTGTGAGGCGTCCAACAATTTTGTGCGACGACAATCTCTAGAAGATGGTCACTTTAAGTTCAGTGAATGTGACACACCTCCTACGAGGATGACGGTACCTCTTGCGACAGGCGCATCCGTAACCGTCATGAAGCGTATAGTGAAGATCCACTATACGCTAGAAGATACCCAATATGATGATGACTTTGTCGTATTGGATTTGGATGACAAATTTGATGTCATCCTTGGAATACCGTGGCTCAGAAGGTACGAACCACGAGTAAACTGGCAACATCGAACAGTAACGATGCCTGCCGCTTGTTCATCAGATGGCCATCCGATGAACGTTTTGGAGCGTCCACAAGCGTGTGGATGTACTACGAGTGAGTGCGATGGCCTCACTTGTGGTACGGTCGTTAGTACGACTGCACAAAACCTTAGTGTACCAAACGGTTACACTTCGGAGCAAAGTTCCGGCGGCTGTGAGGAAACACAGGCTGCGCCGAAGGTCCACCACTCGAATAAGTCGAGTGGACCGGGACAAAGATGTATCCCTAGCGGGGAACATCTAGAAGAGAAACAATCGATCGCTCAGGTTAAGCGAAACGATAATCCTAGATCGACTGGAGAGTCTTTCGTAGAGGATCTCGCTGTGGTTGCGCAACCCCAGCTAGAGGAAGTAAAGGGAATAAGTCCCAAGATTACGAATACGGCGGAAATAAGTTCCCCGAAACCCACGGGAATAAGTCCCCGGGAAGACGAAGGAATAAGTCCTTCGAAGCCTGAGGGAATAAGTCCCCAGGAAATGACAGAGACATTGAATGTCATAGTCAATAACGGATCAAGTGTAGGCGCTTATACACTTGATCTGATTGCGCCTCCGAAGTTGACTTCGGAGATCACTCAGTTGCCAACGCTCGAACATAAAAGGTTCTTGTGTGATCTGCGTAGTGGCAAAGTCAAGCAGATCTGCGTACTCGTCGCTGACGACGAGTGTGTAACCGACATAAGGTCAGCAACAGTGTTCACTGAGAACGAGAGAGTTCTCAGTAGTTCATCTATGGACGAGAGTGTCCTAGATGAAAAGACACGAATTGAGCGATATGACTCCCAATCGTGGGAATCGCTCAAGAAAAATCCTCTCTATGGAGATTTGGTTGAATTCAAGGATGTATTCCCTGAAACTGTTCCGTGCGAATTACCGAAGGATAAAGGTATTCGACACGAGGTCGAGCTTAAACCAGACTCGAAGTACTGTGTCATGAAGCAGTGACCACTGCCTCGTGAACAAGTACTTGCGATCGACAAGTTCTTTGCCGATCGTTTAGCAGCGGGCCATGTGAGGAAATCAACTTCCCCACATAGCTCTCCGACCTTCTGTGTGCGAAAAGCAACAGGAGGGTGGCGGATAGTGCACGCGTTCAACAAATTGAACGCTGCAACGGTACCGGCTCAGACACCGATACCGAGGAAGGACGTAATCATTGATGGTATGTCAAAGAGTACCATCTTTTCGTCCATGGATTTGATGGATGGCTTCTATCAAATCCTAATGCGGGAACGGGATATACACTATACCGCAGTTAGCACGCCTAGCGGCATGCTCTGGGAATGGCTAGTAATGCCACAAGGGCTTAGTAATGCCCCTGCCACGTTCAACAGATGTGTATCACATCTGTTGAGACCAGTACGAGAATTCGCTCCGAGTTATTTCGATGACGTATTCATCCATAGTCGAGCTATGGATGGAAAGTCGGACGTTGAGGTTCACAGGTACCACGTCCGACAGGCTCTTACAATCATGCGAAAGCATCAATTGCATGCAAACCTCAAGAAGTGTATATTTGCAGCAAGCTAAATACCACTTCTTGGGTGCATCGTTGGTAAGAACGGTGTACGTCCTGATCCCGTATAGATCAAGGCGATCACCGACTGGCCTGTGCCGGTTGATGTCAAAGGTCTTCGAAAATTCCTTGGGCTAGCGGCGTATTTGCATAAGTATTCACGCAATTACGCCGAGATGACTGTGCACCTCTCTCGTTTGTTGAAAAAGAACGAGAGGTGGTTATGGAACGCTGAATGTCAGCGCTCCTTTGATGGTATCAAGCAGAGCTTGCTACAATCCCCAGTCCTAGCAATAGCCGATCAGGACAGGCCATTTCATGTGGTATGTGATGCCAGCGATTTCGCAATCGGCTGTGCATTAATGCAGTAATATCTTGAAGGCGTTGAACGCGTCGTCTGCTATCAGTCGCGTCAGCTGCAAGCAGCTGAGCGTAATTACCTGGTGCATGACAAGGAACTCCTTGCCATGAAGTATGCACTCGCGAAGTTCAGAGTCTATCTATTAGGAGATAGACCCACCCATTGTTTACACTGACCATGCGTCATTACGCACGGCAGTGAACAGCCCGCACCTTTCACAACGAATGGCGCGGTAGCTGTCATTCTTTGCAGAATACAACTTTATGGTCGAGTACAAACCGGGACGACTTAATGTCGTCGCTGATGCACTCTCACTTCGTCCCGACTTTGAACCAGTCGCGAAACCCAACAGTGAGACAGTCACTGTTGCGGTTATGACGTCCTCAGTCCCATCTACAACGTTGTATGATGATGTGAGGCGGGCATACGCCCAAGATGGTGAGATAGTGAAGTTGTTGTCACATCTCTCCCAGCCATCCCGAGAATCGTTGAAACGATTGTCGTCTGCGTATCGATCTGCATCAGATCGATACACTACTCGTAACGGTTTACTGTACTATACAGCCGTTTCTGGTGACACACCACGTGTTGTCATTCCAGATGATACTGATCTGCGTTTTCGGATCATGTTCGAGTATCACGATGCTCCTATAGGAGGACATCGTGGCCGAGAGAAAACATATCTCACGGTAAGTCGAGACTTTTACTGGCCCCGCCAGTATCAGTTTGTGCGAAAGTATGTTCGCGCATGCGAAGTCTGCCAACGAGTGAAGTAAATTCCTTCACTGCGTGCACCTTTACAGCCTCTACCGGTTCCGGCTGAGTGCTGGGAATCCATCTCAATGGATTTCGTCTTCGGGTTACCCAAAGACGCACGCGGGAATACGGGTATTCTCGTATTTGTTGACAGATTCAGCAAAATGGTACACCTAGTGGCTGTACCAGAGACAATCACGGCAAGTGGCTGTGCTTGTGTCTTTATTGACACCATCTTCCGACTTCATGGGTTGCCCCGTGAACTCGTATCAGACAGAGATCCACGATTCACTGCTGATTTCTGGCGTTCCGTGTTCAAATCACTCGGAACGCGCTTGAAGATGTCGACATCTGATCATCCAGAGTCAGATGGTCAGACGGAACGTGCCAATCGTGTCCTTGAAGAGATACTTCGAGGATACGTACACTCCTTTAAGAGTTGGAGTGAGTTTTTGCCAATGGTAGAGTTTGCCATCAACAACTCGGTGCATGCGTCCACGACACATACACCGTTTTACGTGAATGGCTTGCGCCATCCGCGTGTACCCACCTTGCTAGAGTGTAACTCTGGTTTAAGGGGGGGAGGGACTCGCGCGAGCAAAAACCGATTTGGTTCACGCTCATCACGCTCTGACGAAGAAGTCATTGCGTTTGATGCCGATATCGATAACATCGATATCGAAGAAGATGATGCCAGTGAGAGTGCGGAAGCCCTCACTGAAGACAATGATCCCAGTGAGAGTGCGGAAGCCCTCACTGAAGAAAAGGTTGTTGTTGCTGCAGTGCGCTCACAGCGCACTGAAGCTAACGAGTCATCAGATGAGTCCATACTGGCTCGTGAAACGGTAGTCCGTTTTGTGCAAGACTCCATCGCCGAAGAGGTGGATAAGCAAAAGCAAAACGCTGACAAGAATGGAAGGGCAAACACTCTTTTATTTAATAAAGGTGACCTAGTCCCACTGTCTACGGTTAATCTACCAAAGCATGTAGTGACTAACTTGGGTAGCAGTAAACTACTACCCAAGTACATCGGTCCATTTCGTGTATTGCACCGCCTAGGCAATGCATACACGATCGAGTTACCACGTAAGATGCGAGCGCATCCCACGTTTTACGTTGGTCGGCTTAAGCCGTACCATCAGTACGCTGCTTCTTCCGATGAAGAACGCCCTTGCGCTCAAGTATCTCGCAGAGAGCCTTGTGCTCCCGATGGTGGGCATCAAGGGTCTGGAGAGCAGTTATCTCATCCCGAGACCGATCAACAATCCCACGAGCTACCCTTAGCTCGTCACGAAGAGATGTCAGAGCTCTCTCGTTCTCAAGCTGAGCAAAGGCAAACTCAGCTCGATGCTTCGAGGCAGTGTCCGCCATTTGGAGACGCCTATTCCGCTCATGTTCGAGATCGTCGCGTAACCCTTGCGTTACGCGATCAAAGAAGCTCTCGGGAACACACCGATCCCCATGATCGTGTGTAGAGCGTCTTTCCTCCTCCTCCACCTCCATTAGAGGACTCTCGCGGTGGCCAGCGCTATCTAGTTGAGCAGCTTTTGAACCACCGCGACGTGAACGGACGCCGGACGAGTTATCTCGTCCGGTGGCGCGGCTACACCCCGTCCTGGGATTCTTGGGAGCCCCGCTCCCAACTGATGATCGACGTACTGGGTCTGGTTGAGCAGTACGACGCGGCACATCCTGTGCCGCAGAAGGACCGCCGGAGAAAGTCTTCCCGGCACGGTCGTAAAGGGATTTCAGGTTGTCAATCCCTTCGTACATCTCAGTAGAGATACGTACGCGCCACCACGGGCTAGTAAGGAGGTAAGCCTCCTTAGGTGCTCGTGCAGAGTTGTTCACACAACACGGGCACGAGTCTCCCGAAGAAAGGCAGGGTAATCCTTTATCCCTTGACAGACGATGCAGCTTGTAGCGTGCACCTGTCGGGGTTCGCTTTTCAAACTTATCACGAGCTTTGATAAGTTTGTCGTTCCAAGCATCACGACCTACATCCTCGAGGTTATGGATGTAGGCGTTCCACGCCTGAAGTAGTGAGGGACCATCACGTTTGTGATTCCCACTGTACCATCGATGTTTGAAGAAAGCATCGATGAAGAATTCATGTTCAGCGCGATAGTTTTTCGTGCTGAGGTCAAGGTGATGGATCCTTGACGAATCGAACAACCGTGTTCGATAACGCTCACTCGTCGTCGCCGACAAGTAATCCATGACAGATTTGGGAGGCATCCATGCCTTCTTCTCAGGAGCGAGACGCAAGGCATTGCGATCCCTCTCTTCCTGCGATGTGCCGACAGAAGGACTGACACCTCGCTGCGAAGTGGTGTCCATAGGAGAACCGAAACCACTATTAGCGCCCGAGTCTCGCGACCTCGAGCGCCTTCGCTTCGGCCATATGGTTCATCTGATGAATCAGATGAACCAAAGATGCTACGACGCATAGCATCATCCATGCCACGCTTGGCAGGCGGCTTGGATTCGATCGCCGTCGATACGGATCCGTCTTCCGTATCAGGAGAGTATGAGACACCGAGCTCGTACTCTGTGCAGACATGAGTGTCTTCATGACCAGCGCCTGCATCTCCAAGTGACACAGGCTGAGTCGCTACAGCAACCGATGAGACATCAGTTGCTGTTGTTTCTGCTTCGGCGTCCGCACAGAGACGTGCGGACGCGCTCTCGGCGGCCTTGCTCGCGCATCGCATGGGATTGTTTACCATGCGATGAATTGTTGGAAAGTGGACTCGGACCAACAAGTGCAAACCCTGTCCCAAATGATTTGGGACGAGTATCCATTTAGTCAATCAGTCACTAAAGTGACTGATGGTTAGGGGGGTTGATGTAACGGGGTAAATCGTCACATAACAATTTATAAATCATTGTTGATAGAATATAACTATAAGAGTTACATTCTCAGAATATTGTCATAAGGACAAAAATTCTGTAGCACTTACGAGTAGTTCCTAATTGGTTGATATAGGCCATTATATCAACCAACGAAGACGCGCCACGACAGACGAACGCAATGAGTGGTGAGCAGATAACTGATTTACACATTTGTATTTAGACATAGTTAGATGAAGATAAATAGTGATTTATTGCAGACATTAACTATTATAAATACAGTTCTACTTTTTACTTTAACCAAGTACTCGCTTCTTCTTACCGTCTTCCTCTGCACGTACGAGTGTACGTGAAGTTACGAGGCACCGCCTTATTCTGTCATCAGTATAAGTAGCTTGTACTGTAACCAGTACAAGCTTCAGGGTGCCCCGTTACAGTATGATTGTCTGTTCGTACTTGAAGGGGTGTCTTGGGATTAATGACAAGTCTTTATCGAGTTCATCGCCCTGCAGTTTACTGATCAATTATACGCAAAATATAAATGGTTCTATCGGTATGTACAGAAGCGTATGATACTACAATATATGCTCGCATACCATAAGTATTGATTCATGCCTTACCCACAACTGCTAGACTCCCTGTGATGTCCGTTGGTCTTCCTCCGCGCCTCTTACTGGCAATCCGAACTAAATTAAATACGAAACGAAACTGTGTTTTACATTTACGATACATAAAATAGCTGCAAAGTCATTGCTGCACTCAGCCTAAATTACGTCATTATGCTCCGCTTGGGCAACTATCGCAGCGGTATCGCGCGGATCAAACGCACGATCAGGACATAATAATCAAAAGATGTAAGAAAGGTCCAGGTGTGCATACATGTCCACACACAACATCATTGCGTTTTAGTTGATGTTTGTGTGGGCGAAAGTGTGCCCTATCAAAATGCAGGCGGCTTGTAAGATGCGACGAAGTGGTAGTATGCTGTCAGTCTCTCATCTGTAGTATGTTATCCTTAAATCCAGGAACGGCCTGCCAACTTCGTATGAGTATGCAGCTGCTAAAACGGGACTAGTAAAAAAGCTCATTTTTTGGGCTTCCGAACCTGTATGCGGATAGATGTTGAAGTTCCATAAGTATTCAATGTCTGTAATTTGCGTAATGAGTGATCAGTCGAGAAAACTAAATATGAATGTGAAGTAAAGCAATGTTATTGCGAGCCCGAAAGGTGAAATTATTAGTGAGTTTGCGTAAGGTTGAATGCTGTGTGTGAATGTGTGTGTCCGTCCCAGTCTGTATGTCTGTAAATAACGCGGTTAGGTGTACCTGACCCATATAAAGAGCGATCTAGCCCGTCCCCTCATAAAGGTCGATTCGCATGATAGGTGTCACTCTATTCCCAGGTCAATATTGTGATGCGCACACCTGATTGGCTTAAAAATGATCAAAGGTGAAATGATCACGTAAGCAAATGCAGGATGCGAACAAGCAAAGGTCGATCACATTGCCTAAGTTTACTGTACCAGGTTAATACAGACAGTAAACAGCATCATACTTATTCTTCAGTGACTGCTGTGGTCCAGTGTTATGCATCTTGATTCAGTTCTCTGAACTGAATAACCTATATCCAAGGGCAGGCTCCAGAGCTTGCTCCCCAACCTCTTATATTAGAATGCAAATTTGGGTCAAACTGGAAGGGTGTGAATATAACGAAATAGGGTATGAACGTAATAAATCCCTCCATCTTGTAAATAATAACAGCGTGACGAGGCGAACGATCGAAGAAAAGAGCAAGAATGCTGCGCTACGAGGACGTGATACAGAGGGCAGCTTTTACGGCTATAGGCTTGATTCTCGCTGGGCCACTACGCGCGCCTTGCGTTAGGACAAAATGACCTAGTGTTTTTACAAAGTGATGATGCTCTCGAAGATCATTGTGTCGACTTGCATTTTCGACGGCATCATTAGCGTTGCACACTGTGCAGCATCACGAGACAGTGTCAATATATGAGCTAAGCGTCGATGCTTAAAGTTGCCGCTGCTTTAACGCCCATCCAAATGCAGCTCGGATTGCAGCGCGAGGCTCATCTTGTGGAAAGGTATTGCCGTTGTTGCCTCGAATAGAGCGTAGACCTGCTGAATGAGAATGTGGTCGCGACTACTCTTGCAGAGCTTGTGATCAGCAAAGAGTATCGGCATCATATTCCATTTCAAAGTTTGCACCGCCCTGATGTATCATTGCCACCCCGTAGGCTTATTGTAGTTCACTAGCAGGATCAAATAGATGTCCTGCCAAGCAATCAGCTTTTGTTCTGCCGCATCCGATCCGATGATGAAGCGTGGATGTTTATTGACTGAAGCAGCTCGATTTAAAATACATGAGACAAGTTCCAGTCCACGCTATTGAGTTTTGCTCATTCGCACAGACTTGAACTCTTTTCATGAATCTGCTTTCACCACTTCACGGTGGACAACCAGGCGAGGGATCGCAAGGGAAAACAAACATACGATAGGACAGGTGTGAAAATTGACTGAGGTACCGAAACGTGCTCTGCAAACGCGGAGAAAGGATGAGCACAGAACCGGCATTCAAGTATCAAAGTGATTTCTGTATTTGATCTTGCGCGAACAAGCTCAATCATCACATGACAGTAGTACGATACTACATGCCTACACTAAAGCTCCTCCTGGGTAGTATCTAAGCCTTCGCGACCGTGATGACTTGGGTCAGGTCGTAACGCAGACTAGGATAAAGCTCTTCCAGCTCGGCAACATTTCCAGATCCAATGGCGATCGTGCGAAGGTACTTCTCGTCCCCGAAGTCACCCAAGTCCTTAGCACCGCTGTTTCCATGGTTCCAGACAGTGCGATCAGTAGGAGGGATATTCGACCTGTGGGCACCGTCACCCCACTCAGCAGACGCCGCGACGATGACATTCCAGTCGCCGTGTTCACCCCCTGATGTGGGCAACCACGTCGCCCGTGACGTTCTTGTAGATGTTGTCAATCTGCGATAAAATGCCAAAGCTCTCACGCGTTTCAAGCTGGTTCGTCTTCGAGATCCGGTCAAAAAAAGTTGACGTTCTTCAGACCCGAAATCGTCACGCCATCGTTGCGGATGTCGGGGACGGAGAAGTAGTTTTGAATCAGCGCGTGAAAGCTGATAGCAGCAGGGTGGGTGTCGATGACGGAGAACATGATCTCGAGCGAAGATGACCGCAACTCCAGTTGGTACATTAGCTTGAACTTGAAAGGCCACATCTGCATGGTAGCGTCAGTAGACTCCAGGTTGAAGAAGGCATAGGTGGGCCTATCGCGATTGGTCGCCGGAGTCACGCTGCTGACTTCCCACTTCATGGTGCGGGCAAAACCGTTCAGGGGGATGGAATAGCCGCTTGGGGCGGTCCCGTAGTATGGGAACACGGGGGGTGAGACCGCCTTGGATGGGTGTCACACCGTCGGAGGTCGACGGGTCGTCGGCCATGAACAGCACGTTCACGTTCGGATTATCGGCCGTGTAGAACGATATCACTTGTGCGCCGAGGACAGCGACTTCGGCACGGGAGCCAGATACATGCTCGAGTAGGACAGTGCCTGGAGCTGGGTTAGCAGCTCCTGGCGACGCCAGCAGAGTCGATGCCAGCAGCGTCGACGAAGTCAATGCCGAGATCTTGAGCAGGAACGAATGGACCATGGCTCACGTGAGGAGAAGATCCGTTGGACGGGTGGGAGGTCCAAGATGCGCTTGTTGAGTAGAAGGTGAATTCCGAAATGAAGAATGGAGATGATCGAGAAGGAGGTTCGTGCTGACGGGCGAATTCGACGGAGACTTCGCAAGCGCCGAGAGGACAGCGTCAACAAGAGGATACGAAGCCACCGAATCGTACCGTCTGATTGCTGGCTGAAGACATCAGACGACACGAGAGTTCCCATCTCAAGATGCAGCACATGCGTTGGGGATCGACAGGTGCGTGTGACACGTGCGTAGCCTGGATATGCCAAGAGGCGACAGGATGATGCAATGTCGCGTTCGGTGCTAATCATGCGACAACGACAGCAGCTACCGCAGCTGCACTGTCGATCTCAACGATTGGACTTCACGAAGTTGCATTGTGCTCGCAGCACACAATCACTACGAACCCTCTCTCTCTCTCGAATACACCCAAGGCCAAATCTCACGCGTGGGATCGCATGAACCTGCGATGCGCTTCTTCCGGACTTTACATCAGACCGTTGGACATTCTCGCACATGAACGGATCGGATCGAAGCTAGACCGGGCAGGGTGCCGAAGCAATTGCGCCAAGACCTCACCTACTATCGCTGCTAGAAACCTTCCTCCGAGGTCGGGTCAAAAGGTGCGTGTCACAGAGAAAGAATGCCCGTCTACGTTCTAGCGTCTGCGTCAGTGCTACGCTCGATCGACGAATCACCGTAAAAATGAAGGCGCTCGAACCAATCGTAGAAGCATCTCACGGGCGTATCCACCGTGGCTACACCGACTGACTATACCGTTGCCTGCACATCGAAGTGTGAGGGATAGAAGATGCTGTCTATTCAACGTTCGTATTGCTTGCAACATGTCTAAAAAGGCTAACAAGCCAGGTTAGAAACGCAGATGACTGTTGTCTATCCGCTGGTTGTACGTGGCTCACCACCGCTTGCATAGCAAACTTTGCTGCAGCACAAGCCGCGGCTTTGCTTGCCCTATCCGCGCTTTGACGTAGTTCAACCACCCAGTATGGCTTTTCCAGCGTTCAGCATTGCCTCCAATTTTTGGCGGTGTAAGCAGCCAGCCGGCCCAACCATAAAAAGCCCCTGAAGTTACCAGTGCGATGCAGAACTGCAATTGTTGACCCCGGTAGCACTTTCTGGCTCCTCCGGGACGCAATCAAATGTAGTCTATGTACGTCTCGTGCCCATCACGAAATGTGGCACGCAAGACGGGATGGCGATGACCGACCACGGCGTCCAGCACCTTAATTTAGTATAGTCAATGCATCGTGATGTTAAATGCATCCCAATCAACGACGCTGACCTCGCTAGGTCATAACAGTTTGTTCGTTAAGCCAACATGTGCCACTAAATTTTGTGTGTGGGCATCTAGCATTCAGAGCCCCCCACAAGTTACAGAATTCGGAAAGAGGGTTCTAATACGGGGACGTTTGAAATTTCCGATTATACTGGCGATTGGTACATCTGCCGGGCTATAAATGGTTTTTGTAAAAATAAACTTACGCTGCTAAAACTTTCAGGAGTGTCGGTCTGCTAATGACTTACTCATGTACAGGTCGTCGTGTCGAAGTGCTACCCATTCACTATTACACGAGCCTGGATTTCATTGACAGTTTTTGCAAGCTTGTCGCTGACACGTAAGCCTTTAGTGTGTTGTCGCGTCACCGAAGGTATGGCCACGCTCACCTTCTACATCTTCACACTTGCATCTGGCGCCTAGGTGCTACGACTAGGGATGTGCGTAACCGACAGATGAGACCGGGTTGATCGATCGGTTAATTTAGCTGGCTACTCATCCAAAGTGAGCTTATTCGTACCAAATGAAGGAATATCACCAATGATGTCATGGAGTGAGCCTGTTACATGTAATTAGCTTCGATTTTTGGTAAATGAATGTAAACATAAAGGTTGATAATGCTCGTATATATTACCATCAGAGGTACTATTCAGAAACACTCACCAATTGGCTGACACGGGTCATTATATCAGCTAGCTCCTGCGGTCTAATCAACTATAGACGCGCGCAACGAATGGTGATCAAAACCTAAGCATCCGTTTTTGTCGACAAATCTAAATAAATCAGGACTAAAAAATAGATAAATGATTAGGGCTCGATGAGATTTCATAGGATTTATCTTTTACCAGCAACTGGTCAGTTTCAAGTGCTTTCCCTTTCTTTGCCAAAGGTGGCGAGGCACCGCTCACACTGCTGTGGGTTAGAGCTTCTCTACACTCTTCAATCAGCGTTATTTGGAGGAGGAGTATAAACAGGACCAGTACTGGCATCAGCCAGATACTCGAACGACGGCCATCAAGCCACCTCCGCGCCTCCCCCCGATGGGAAGGAGGGGAACAGCACCCAATTCGACGCGCTACCCGATAGGCAGAGCCACACAGGAATGGCTCGCGGGATGGTAGCGGTTCAGGGCGGGCAGGACGATTCCCATGCCTCTCCTGGCGTCACAAGACCACTCGTTACCCAGACGGCAGGTGGAGATATCGTAGTTGACACCATCATGGCAGACGACCAGCAGGCGGTTCCCGTATCGAGCCACGGGCCAGACACGGTCGGAGCCTCGGTCGATCACGGTTTAAACTCGTCAACGCCTGGCGGCGGCGACGGAGCGTCGACGCGTCAGACAGCGGTATCACAACCCCGATTACCTGAGGGGGTAAAGACGACTTCATCCACGCCGGCCGTGGAGCACGTACCTCCTAAGGAGCTTTTTGAGGCTCTAATTGAGTCGATGAAAGCCTCACCAGGCCCAACCAACGTTGATGTCTGGCGTCTGTCCATCCAGGACCTATTTACAGCGGAATATGCTCGGATACCGGTAAGCGTCGACGCGTTACCGGCCGGACGCACAAGGTTTCCCAAGCTTAAGGGACCTGAGGCGGATAGCTTGCTAGATCTTTTTCGACGCTGTTATGTGTCAGCTTCTGGAAGTTTCGCCGACTGGAAACGACTGGCTCATCAGATCAGCAAAGAACTCCTCCTGACGAAGTGGGCATTCAAGGAGATCATAAGAAAATTGGTCAGTCAACAAAAGTGGGCCACTGCTCCTGTCCCCAATCAATGGGCAGAAGTCGTGCGGGCGGGTAATACGGCTCGCCAAATGGACGGGGAGAACAAAGGGAGCATAACCTATGAAGATTTTATGTTTGACCCGGCCAAATTCTCGTTGGAAGACTCGATTACATAAAAGGCCATCTGTGTGGCCCGGCTAGGTAACACGGGCTTCCAACGGCTACGTGAGGGGTCTGATGACGAATGGCGCATTATTGTGGGTATTGCCGAAGGGCATATAGTCTGTCGCCGGATGCCAGACTTTCTACGATCGGTTCTGGACAGCAAGGAACGTCTTCGGCTGTACAGTACCGTTCAGGCGCAGGTGGAGGGTCAATTAGTTCTCCATATCAGCGGTGGGCGTGACATTCCTCTAAGTCGTCAGACAACGAAGGCCATCACGGAGAAGATTCTGGAATCAGCCGAGCTGTTGAGGGTCAGTTTGCCCGATCTCCATCGCCTGCTGGGATCAACGAAAACGATCAGTTACAATCGATCAACCCGGTCGATTCACTTTTTCTTTTTTCGCGGGACAAGGCAAAGAAGCTCCAGGACGTTCAAGTGCCTTTTCAAGGTCGAGTTTATACGCTGGAGAACGCCCATCAGCCGGTAAGGGGATCGGTATGGCTGAACCAGCGGGGTCCAGATGGTCGGTCGGGGTACCCAAGATCCGCTTATACGATTATCCTCTATAATCTTACCAGATTCGACGACATTGGACGCATAGCAGCTTACTTGCGCTCGAAGATTCAAACAGAATTTGAGCTGGAGGACATGGACACATGCACACCAAATTCAAGAACATCAACAGCGTGGAAGGTAACCTTTCATCTAGCGGGCTGCCCGAAATTCCTTCAGGGTATAGTACGATTACTTTGGTTTGGAACACCAATTATCATCAGGCATCCAGATGTGGGCCGTCGCCTCCAATGTCTGCAGTGTGGAACTTTGGGACACCCGGCGGGCAGATGTCAATTCACAGATGCGCAATTACGCGGGCCGGGTGGCGTAGAAGTTATCGAAGCAGATCTTCAAGCTGTTGAAGACCTCGCCAAGCCTTTTAGCAGTCCAGACGAAATGAGGCAGATGGCAATGAGACGTCTACAAGTCCAACAATCGGAGGATGCGGCAGCGCAGGCTGCAGTGACGCCGGTGGCATTGACAGTTGCCCCCAGTCCGTCGCCAGTGGCAGAACCCCCTAGAACTGGCATACCTCTCCAACCGGTATATACTCCACCAGGCACGCACGAGGGGCCACCACCACCGGCCCCAAAATGCCGACCAGCGCAACCATGGCTGACCCGGCCTGTACGGGGAGGGAGGGAGGATATGGTCACCCCTGCAGGCCTCGAAAGGCGATCTCAAGGTTAGCAGCGGTAGTTATCACGTGCTCCAAGAGGACGAGCTGGATGAGACCGAAACGTCCTCGAATTCTGTTAATAGCGATACCCATGATCTGCCAAGGCAAGCATCAAGTAAGATGACGGATCGGGATGCGTCTTCCAAGAAGGGACCACCCACGTTGACACCTGAGGATCTAGCACGACAAACAGCAGCCGCCAGGAGAGGACAGGTGTCTGTTGTTGCGGGCCCAACGCTTTTGGCCAATAAACGCCGGGAGCGTTCAACATGTGAGCGGCTAATTAAACAGTTGTCACCAGGGACAAGTCACGCGATCCCCATGGAACCAAGGCCTCATGCTGAACCCATGCATGTGACAGAATTGGTACAGATTTTGGGGCTCCGTGAAGTCGCCACACCGGCCACGGGCAATTGTTTGGCGATAGCCATAGCTCAAGCTCTCGCAGAATCTGCTTTGGACAACCCTACCAAGGGCCTTGAGATTTTAACGGCTAGTATTAAACGGGGAATCTCCAACGCCGGACTACTAAATTTGGAGGATCAAATGGCTCATGACGTACGGGTTCATGCTTTAAAGAACGTTGGCAGAGGTTGGACGACGATGACCAGGGGGGAGTCTGCGTCCCAACTACGGTGGTTTTTGCATGACTATGCAGCCTCCCCTTCCAACAGAGAAGCCCTGGTTGAGGAGCATAGCTGGGGTGGAAGTGACACTCTTGGAATGGCAGCCAATTTTTTGCATCGCACTATCTATGTGTTGAACTGTGGCCGCGGAACGGGTAGCTGGAGTGGTCGCAAGTATTGTCCTGCTACGATCAACAGACACGGTCGAGTAGTGGAAACTGCCAAAGAATTTCCACTCACTCTCTTGGCATGTATAGACGAGCTGCAAGCGGCAAAAATAGAGGCGCCTCGCGCTCCACCACTGGTGCTTAGATTCTGGGGCCGGCATTATTCGGCTTTTCTGCACACTGCCAGGGCGGCAGATCGGCTCAGCCTAACTGACGTCTCGGACGGAACAGGCTCAGCGCTGCAGCAAGGTCAGGACTCGCAAATTGTGGATACTTTAGCTGTGCAGCTAGAAGAGAAGCGCTCCCATATTTTATCCCCTATCAGGGATCATATGTCGGTTGTGGATGACAACACTTCGATAATCATCCACTCTTCAAGGAACTGTGGTCTTGCCAAAGCGTCATCGCAGCAATTAGCTATTGTTCCATCGCAGATCAGGGGGGGCCAATCAGGGCAGTTCGCTATCGGCTCGAAAACGTGGGCACGTCAGCACGTCGGAGTCCATCGAGGTCAGCGAAGGGGAGAACTGGAGTGGACTTGAGAGCTTCAAACAGAAAAAAAGGCAGGATCAGCGTTGCTTCTCCTCAACCCTATATCACTCGGATGGAGGAACGAATGGATACCGACGACTGGCCGGATCTCTGGCAGGCTCTGGGAGTTGAATGGCCAGTAACGGCTTCTACGCCATATCCACTAGTGTATGGTAACCCTGAGGCGTGGCTGAAAACTGCCCAGGTCGAGCCAGAGCTGCTGCTCCATCACGTGCGACGCTTTGTTTTCCCGGGTGAACTGCTGGCTAGCCTAGGGGATCACGTTCTCGGGATGTGGACGGCTCAGTGGCGACAGGCGTGCTTGCTGTCTGGTCTACTTGAGTACAGGCGTCGAGTGCAAGATTCTATGCAATCACTGTGGCTAGATCAATGGATCGTGCGAACACAGCAGCGATTGCCTTCCTCCCGGCTGGCCCCATTAATCGACAACACCGACGATTGGGTCAAGCTGAGGGAGGTCGACTACGCTACCGATGATATTTTGCGTCTTTGTGACCCTCACCGACGTATACGCCTGAGTTATCACCTACTATGTGCGGTATTGTTCGACGCTGAGATTTTTGCGCTGACCGGGGATGGGGAAAAACCACTTGAGCCTCCCGAGCAACTTCGAGGGCACCTACGCTTACTTCGGAACAACAGTCACTACAAGGAGGTGTATTAAGCTGACGGGGGATCCAAGGTGGATTGGCGCAAGCTGGTTTGCTTCTTTAATACTGCGTTGGCTCCTGCAGAGCAGCAGTTTCTACTTGGGTACAAAGGGCAGCTTACGGAGCAACGAGGCCTTCAGGCCCGGTGGTGCATCACTCGACGCATCGGACGCCTATGGCCGCCATCTCTTGCTTAAGGAATGGACCAATTCTTTTGAGCCAGTTACATCTCGGCTCCAAGGCTGGATGGGTGACATGCTTTACATATCTCAAAATGTACGAGGATTCAAGGACAGCGTGCGCGACAGTTGGATGTCGGGTTGGCGGGCTAAGACAAATCGACACAGAACAGGGGCTTGGTGCATCCAGGACACACATGTGCACACAGAAGCAGAGGCAACTCGGCTGCGATATCAGTGGGCTCGACTATGGGGTCAGCATCTTAACCCGACTTCCCCTGTCCTATCGTACTGGAGTATTGGCTCGTCAAAACGGGCAGGAGTTGCTATTCTACTCACTCCACAAATTGCAACACATACGACGGCCTGGTTACCGGATTTCTGGACCACACGCGCGATCGCTGTATCTATTGGGGGGAAGTACTTGTGAATGTGAACGCTCCTACTTTGCGGTCCGAGCGAGAGGCTTTTTTTACCTACCTGCTGACCTTAAATCTAGACCCCTCAATTACGATGATCGTCGGCGACTTTAATTGCGTCCAGAGTCCCCTTCTGGATCGATTTGGGAAGCATCGCTCCAACCGGTCAGAAAGCCCGGCCCTGGACCACGTTGTGTCTACGATAGGATTGGCTGATGCAAGATGGCTTCGCGAACACGCAGACGACGACTCAATGGATACTTTTGTGGACCATTTCACATACTGGGAAGGGGATAGGGCTAGTCGTATTGACAGATTTTACGTACCGGAAGGCTGGGTGGACCGCGTCCTGTGGGTTGAGACGCGCTTACCTTCAAATTTGTCGGACCATCAGGAGGTAGTTCTACACCTGCGAAAACCAACCAGGCGTCGCCCTCATATTCGACGTGATAGGGTGGTGTATCCCATCACAGCATCGAACCCCGATAACATTATAGCAGAACTTGTCGAGGAAATGGATGGCATGGCTGTTGGTCAAGCTTTATCTACCAGGACTTGGGATCTAGACGTTGCTGAGTGTGTAAGCTGTATTCGGCGTGTCAGTAAGACGGTGAAGCAGCGCAGGGCTCGATTTTGCCATAACATTCAGAGACGGGCACAGCAGCACTTGCTTACCAGGCCACAATGGATATCCTGTAAGATGGAAGAATTGCGTCAGGAACATATTGTGCGACTCGGTCAACAGCTGGTCAGGACAACAGATCGGTTACGGTTTATTTATCGCAAAATAGCCGACTGGGAGCGCGAGCAAACCGTCACCGGTATTAAGCAGCTTCATGGACCGGTTTTTAGTCGCACCATGTCGACGGCAGATAAATTTGCCTCAGAGTGGTCCACTGTTTTAGGCGTGGTACATCGCAGTACCCCTTTGGAAGCCTTACCAGCCACTATTCGTCATTTTGTTCAAGTTCCCACCCAACGGGTACTTTCTTCGAGCGAGAATCGGTCTTTAATGGCCGATTTCACTGAAGATGAGGTTATTACAGCCATCACGGGCCTATGTCGACATAAATCGGCTGGATCTGATGGTTTAAACAACGACTTTTACAAGGATACGCCGGCGCTTTTGGTTCCAGCCCTGGTGCGAATCAGTAATCAAATATTGGCGGCCTCAGATCCTCCA